TTTTCCATACTTTGGGGAGGTCTCGTCAAAGGGAGGCTGACAAGCGTATAGTTACACAGTTATGTTTGCTTGATCTCTCTTGATGTGGCTGCATCCATCCTTGGGAGGAAACCTACAGCTGTTTTGGTTTTAGCTTTCACAGCCTTTGACAGAGTCATAGAATAATCAGCCCACTTGGGAATTCCTTAAAAAAGAATGTAGGAGAGAAGAGGAGGGGGTCTCCTCAGACCAGCTCTCCCAACCTTCGAGCTAAACAAAACGAAAATCAGCGAAGACCCTTGGAAAGGTCTTTCTGCAGCCCTTCAGACTTTGTTCTGCTGTCTCGTGCCCTAGACTCTCTGGTTTTTCTTCATGAAAGTGGACTCAATAAAAGCAAATGTGATTATTGTTGATATATTTTATTCCTTTTGGGCCTACTCTGCCCTCAGCCACTTAATCCTACTGCCTCTAACTGTCTTGACCTGGCTGGGCACACACTACTGAACATGCTTGATACCACTGGTAGAGAAATACCTCATTGCTGAGGCCTTGAAGGAAAGCTTCGCCCCGCGGGCCCGGAAATAGTGCAACTCTGTAGACCAGCTGAAGAAAGCCTGCGGCATTCTTACCAGTGCTCCTACTGAGAAGTCCCTGTGAAGTCTTGACCCAGTGTTTCCCAACACTAAACCCCTCTGAAATGAAAGCAAATTAAAAAAAAAAAAAAAAAAAACAGCATCTAGAAGAGATGAGGATCTATAATCTGCTGGTGTGCACTAACAGATGAAAAGGAGATTGGCTGGTATGTAGAGCTGCATGTCTAGACTCATTTGTAATTTCAACGGGGATTTGTCTTTCCCCAAAATATCTGTTGAGGTCGTTCCCAAGGAGGTCTCCATTTGTTCAGCTGTTTCCTGGTGGACAGAGGAAACTCAAAATTCAGCTCTTCAGTTTCCTTCTAGGACAACACAGTGCACCAGCACTTTCTGTGGTGGTAGAAAGGGCCTCTGTCTGTGCTGCCCAAGATGGTAGCCACTAGCTAATGTGGCTACTGAGCATTTAAGATGTGGCTTATACTACTGAGGAACTGGGGTTTTCATCATAGTTTAGACTTAAATTTAAATTGGACAACATAAGCCTAAAGATGCTCCTATGGCTCGGAATGACTCTGGGGTCCGAGCATCTGAGTAGACTTTGGCCTTCACGTCCCAGCCTGGGAAGGGCTCTGGGCACTAGGTGTTACATCTGGATGCATCCCTCATGGAGCCAACATGGCGCGCCGGGCAGTGCTCTGCATACCACGTGGCATATATGTCACACTCTGGCAGGTCCCTGGATAAACAGCCCTTGTCTCTTGTCCTTTCAATTCGGGGTCCTGGTGGGAGCAATTTTCCATGACTGAGTAGCTGAGTCACAGAGCCCGGGAGAGGATGAGTCATGTGCCCACCTAGAATGCAAACATGTTTCAGGGTTAGAGCCAGCATCTCCTAGAGTTGGAGCAAAGATCGAGAACCAGGATTCTGAGAACTCTGCCAGCATCCCCAAAAGGGGGCCCTGAAATGATCTGACTGGCAAATTTGAGTAGTTGTTGATTTCTGAGTTCCTTTTTTTTTTTTCCCACAACGGAAAGCCTATCTGCCAGAAAGGTGGTCATCCAGGCAGCAGGCTTAGTTTTTCCTTTAGTGACAAGAGATAATTACTGTGGGATTGATCAGGCGTCCAGAGTACTGGAGCACATAAATTGGGCAGTGGCCAGTGCGGGCGGGGCCCAGCTACTAATGGAAGCGGCGGCTGGGTCATCTCGCTGTAATATGGCTTGATGGAGCATTCACATCGGTCTGCTGTAATGTGCTATTGATATGCAGCCAGCCAATTTCCCTGTGTGGCTGGGGCTGGGAGCCGTTGGAGCAGAGCTGGGCTGCACAGCAGTAAATGAAGAGGAAAATTGAAGTAATGTTGTATTATAAATTTATGATTTCATCTGCCTGACCCAGAGGATGTTCGTGATGGGGGCTGGAGATCAGATCCCCCACTCCGGCAGATGCCAAATTCTCGTCTTTGTTGTGCAGGAGACAATATTGACATGTCCAGGAAGATTGGGGTGAGGCCCCAAATTGGGGTGAACTCGACCATGCTTGTCTTCCTTCTTGTCGAAGACTGTCGTGTGCCAGGAAGAAGGTGGCCGGAGTCAGGGAGGGGCTGGGCGTCCCACCCGCTCCCCACCCCACCTGCCCCGAGGGAGGCTTGAAGGTGACCCATGGGCCTACACTTATGCTGTCAGATTCAAATATTTCAGACCCCTAGTGCTGAAGTTAGAAGCAAAGGAGTCATTTTTCACCGGGAAAGGCCCTAGGCAGCGGTGATTTGGCTGTTTGCATATAATCCGTTTATCAATAGTGTTGAAATAATGGTTTAAGAAATCTAGTCATGAAAGATCTGATTTGAGAGTGGGTGATTAATTCGGAAGAGAACTGAGCTGGCCAGCCATGAAATAAATACCAAGGGAGAAGCCAGTGTGCGTGCATCCACGTAAGACCTCTTGCGCTCCCCCCCTTCCTCTCCGTCCCTCTGTCCCTCTCTTTCCCCACCGGGGGGCCAGAGCTGAGCGTCACCCTTGGATAGCCTGCCCCTCGGCAGGCAGAGCAAAGCCGTGCAGTCATCCCGCTTGTGTGGGCAGCCCTGTGCCAGGGAGACCCCGAGCACCGGGAGATAGCGCACCCGGAAGGAGCAGGCGCAGGGCACTTTTGACGTGGAAACGGGTCAGTCGGCCAGTGAGTTGTGACTGCTCGTTTGGAAAGGCTCTGGCCAAACGGGAAGGGAAGGGAGGCACGGGGAGTCTCAGTCGAGAATGCTGTAAGGGACCCACAGAGTTTTGTACAGATGGCAAGACTCAAGCTGTCAGAGGACGAGGAAGACCCCCCCACCAAAGGGCATGGCCTTGGGCCAGAGGCAAGCCTGGACCCCAAGACTCCTGACACCCACAAGAGCAAGCCTCTCTTCTCGGTCCAATGACAGATCCACTGGTCAAGCGGAGGCTGTGACACAAACACACATGGGCAGGTGAGGAAAGGTGGGTCCCATCTCTGGCCCTCTAAGGCATACGAGCTCTATGAACAGGCAGCAGGAAGACCTGCCAACGCGAACACACAATGCCCGAGGGCACCCGAGATGGAACTGCGTGAATGATCCTGTTCCGTTAGCCCTCACCGCAGGTCAGAAAATGCTTGCGACGCACCCACGTGCACTCGGGACGCGGGTGATGAGACCCCAGAGCCCATATTTGGGGGGTGTCCGTGGCTGTCTCAAGCTGCTGCCCTTGTGGCTGGAGCGCAGGAAGGCTCTGACAGACCCCACCCATCAAAGCCACTCTCTACCAGCATCTTGGTGGCAAGCCACGGAAACAACTCTGGCTGCTGCAAGCCAAAAAGGAGATGACTGGAAGGGGCTCGTCAGCGCATGGAGTTGCCGAGAAGGCTGGAAAATAGGCAGTAACTGGGGAGGTGGGTGGTCAGCCACAGCCGTGACCCAGGGACAGCCTAGGAATGACCTGGTCGAGGGGTGGTCCCCCGTTGCCACCACTGTGTGCTGGGCTCATGCTAAAGGCACCAGAATAAATTCTGAATCACTGTCTCCTCCTCTGCCCCACTAGCCTCAGCAGTGGATCCAAGGAGGACTTCCCTGGGCCAAACCCAGGTTCACAACCTACTTTCCCGCTGCCTGGCTCAGAGAGAGCAGGAGGGGGCCCTCTTCTGCTTCCAGGATGGGAGGCAGGCCTCTCTCTAAGACTCAAACTCAGAGGAGGGATTCAGGGACTGGGCAGCCAAGAAACAACCACAAATACCCACCTCGGAAGTCAAAGCAAAAGTCCGGCTGTTGGTGGTGCTTGGGTGGTTGGTGATAGTGGTGGCGGGAGGTTGGCCGTGGAGGTATGTGAAGAGCATGAATGTACTGGGACTCCCACACACCGAGTGGACAGAGGCAACGTGAGCCTGGTGGGATGGGAACAAGGGGGACCCATGGGTCCCCTGGGGCTGGCAGAATCGGTCCAAGAGGGCTACACACTGGCCTTCTCTGTCACCTGAGCCAAGAGGCAGGGACATAAATGGTGAAGTAGCCTGAGTGAGCACAATGCAGGGTGGAGAGCCAAGGGACTGCTCACTGGGGGTTTCATACTAGATCACAGAGGGCCACACCGGGAGCAGAACATGCCAGAGTTTCCTCATGCCCAGCCCAGCAGCCATTTCCACAGGCAGCCCACGGTTAACGGATCACCCCCTGGGTTATCTGCTGAGATCATGTGGAAAATACGCTCACTGTGAAGCGCCCGTTAGTTACCATGTGTGGCGTGAGGCTTCTGGGTTTGGGCCATGCTTCCTGGAGCACATGTTAATCCAAGCAGTCCCTCGTTGCCGGGGCGGGTGGGGGGAGGGCGCTTGGGAAGATGCTGGCACCCTGTGGAGTACCTGTGCTTGGACGCAGGCCCCCCGGAACCCTGCCTCCCCTGGGCCAGGGCTCATTAAGCCCAGTGGTTTTCTACAAGCGCAAGGTCAGCCCTGAGTTTTGCCCCACAACTCTGACCCCTGAGTGCTCCCGCTTTGTCTGCTGCGGGCACCTCTGTCTGCTGCCTCGGGAGGAGGCATTACAAGGACTTTAATCTCCTACTGTCAATAGCTTTAAGGTAAAGTACATTCAGAGTAAGCTCTCCAAATGTCAGAGCCAGGCACAGGCCCTCTGTTTGGTGCTAACGCGTGGCATTTACTCTGCAGGTTCCAGAAAGTGCGTGGGCTTTGGGGGGGGGGCTCTCTGCCCAAATATAGGTTAATTACCAGCAGGCTGACAGCAGTGCCCCCAGCCACAGGAGAGAGGGGACCCGAGCCCTGGGTAAAGACCCTCACGGGAGACGAATCATTTTGTGCGGGAAAATAACCCAGGCTGTCCTCACTTCTGCCCTCCCTGGGATTTCACCCCAGGGCTGAGGCAGCAGCTGTACTAATGCCCCTGTGATCTTTCTCTCTGTGTTCAAGGCTACCCCAACTTCGTGGCAACCTATGGCCGCGGCTACCCTGGATTTGCTCCTAGCTATGGCTATCAGTTCCCAGGTGAGTGTCTTTGTCTCCCGGGGCTTTGGAAGCACAGGAGATGGGCTGCATTGGAGGGGAGGCGGGAGGACCCCTAAAGAGAACACAGCTCGTACACATATGCATTCAGAAATGACCTGTAGGTGCCGAAGTTCAAATCCACTGAACTCCGGGGGCAGGATGCAGCTCAATGTCTGATTAACCGAAGTACCGCCTCCGTGCCGGGTATTTGAGAGTGGCAGCTTTCGGGGGAAGGGAAAGAGCTGAGTCAGGAGCCCTCCCTCTGCCCCCCCTTCTTTGTTTGGAGCCTGTTACAGGTTCTCTCACTGGACCGGACTCCTACCCTCTGCTTTCCTCATCCCCCGTCTCCCTTCCGGTCTTCCTCCCTCCCCTCCTCCAGCTCTGCCTGGCGGCCCTGGCTTGGACACCCTTCTCTGTGTAACTGTGGTGTGCCGTTGGGGTTTGGGTTTGCTGTCCTGGGTCGGGGTGTAGATTCACCCTCCCCTGCATGTAGGTGTCAGAGACTTGAGGCAGAGCCCACAACAATGCCCACTTTCGTGCCCAGGCTGCCGCAGCTCCCACATAGCTGGGGGGCCTGGGGCCCCCACCTGAGGTGGCAGCAAGGGCAGGCATGGTCTTACAGGGTTGGGGGGAAGGGTGCTGAAGGAAGCCATGTTGATAGGGCTTTACTTGTCCCCTGAAGGGGTGAGTCAGCCTTTCCCAAACATGGAGTAGAGACAAGAATATATCGGGGTACAGGGGTGCTTGGGGGTGTGTGTGTACAGAGGACAGCTGGAGTTCCTAGAAAAGGCATTAGGAATGGCGTTTTGTCCTCTTGGGTTCTCTGCTGAGGAAGGAGGCTCCCTCGGAAGCTGGGTTTCCAGCAGTTTCATTCCTGGTTGATCATCCTGCCTGGACCCAGAGGCCTTGGAGGCCCAGGGAGCATAGGCATGGCCCTTAGAGGATCCTGTCCTGAAGCCAGGGAGGAGGGCCAGGGAGAGGTGCGTGAGGGTCTCACCCAGTGTTTGCACACCTCCGACTGAGTGTTGGGGTGGGGTAAGGGTGACTCAACAGGAAGCCAGGAAGCATTTGGGGCACTTAGAGCCATGCCCGGTGGAGGACAGATCCTCCATCAGCGACGGAAGCCCCAGGCTCTTTCCCATGGCCACAGCAGGTCACCCAGTATCTCTGGGCCTCATCTCTGTCTTCTGTAAACAGGGGGTTTGGGCAGGATAGTCCCTGGGGTCTGTGCACCCTTCCGATTGTGGGGGTGAGGGGTAGGGGAGGCAGATACAGTAGCAGCTGTTCCAGATGGGGGAGTGTGAGTGGGGGAGACTCCCCCATGAGCGTGTCCCCTGGAGCCAGTGTCTGCAAGGGGGGGGGTGGCTCTTGAAGCAGGGAAGTGGGCACTACAACCAGAGAAGTCTGCCCCTCCAGTAGGTTTTCCCATGTACAGATGGGGACCCCAAGGCCTAGAGAGGTAGAAAACCCTGTTCCAGGGCTCATTAGCAGCAAGGAGCAGCGCTGCGATTTAGACCCAGGTGGTCTGGCTCTTAACTCCCATGTTCCTCTCTCTAGCGTCCTTCTGTCCAGGACGATCCCACTAACCACACATAGCTACTATAATTTAGATTTAAATGAAAATGAAGTAAAATGAGAATTCCAGTTTCTCCGTCACACTAGCCACGCTTCACTTAGCAGCCACATATGGCTAGTGGCTACTGTTAGCACAGCCTGTAGAACATTTCTACAAAAGTTCTGTTGGAAGGCACCATTCTGGAGCATAAGGGGGGGGTGCATGGTCCACACACATACATGCATGTGTACACACTGTCCCTCCCAGGGAGGCCTGGCTTGTCATCAGCCCTACTCATTTCTTGCCCGTCCTCCTCGGCCCAGAAGCTGGTGGTAGTTTTAGGAAAGCCTTTCATCTCCTTCCCTCCCCTGGCTTCCTCACCAGGGTACAAGAAGACATGTAGGCTCCCGTCCTGCCTCGCTGAGCGCACCATACCACTCTGCACACCTGGTGTGGCTTTGCCTGCCTTCACAATCAGGTTGCCATTGCCCCCTCAGTGCAGTACTAGTCCCAGGCAGGGAGAGTTGGGGGATCCTAACATGGAATAATTTGGGGGGTGACAAAATGGATTCCATGCTAAGGGCTCTGTCTCAGGGATCTGTGTTTTAGGATCTGTCCTCCGCAGACATGTATGCAAGACAGAGATACAAAAGTGACCGACCAAGGCTGGGTAGGATGAGATAGTCTCCCAGCTGTGCCCAGCCCTTCAGCTTTAGCCAAGGCTTTGGGAACAGAGCAGGAGTGTGAGGGACCTGGTGTGGGCTAGGAGTGACCGTGTCCAGGGTCTGTTTGTCACGGTCACTAGCTCCTGCAGCTCAACGACGTCAGCTGGATTTGATTAGGGCAGGAATGGGGCGTTAAAATGTCTGGACAGGGGCTCCCTGACCCGTGGGACATGGCTGTTCTCTCCTCCCCCAGCCATCAGATTCTCCATTCCACATCCTTCCAGTTCTCACCTTGAAGGTCTCTTGTATGTCCTCACCGATGGCCACAAAGAGGCTGTCGATGGCCACAAGAGTGAGGCCACGTGCTGTTAGGGAGGGTCCGTGTGTGGAATAGCCCCAGGCCGTGAAGGGCGTGGCCCAATGGCTGGACCTGGCTGCCACTCTGTCCGCTGTCCCCAAGCAGTCCCCCATGGTATTCCAGTCACGAGCTCATGACGTGGTGGCTCCCCTCAAAAACCAAACTTGAGCCTGCCTGGAGCCTCCAGCCCGGGCCAGGGTCTCCGAGTCAGGGGAGCTTTGGAACATTCTGACATCCATCTCTTGCCCCGTGCCAGTGAGGAGTGTTTTGGAGGGTCTGGTGAGGAGGAGGTTGGGGTGGAGAGGGACGGCCCGGCAGAGGGTGGCCCAAATCTGCCCTCTGCTCACCCTGTCCGGTTGACTTCTCCCTGCACCCTGGGGTCCTGTGAGCCAGTGACATCGGCACAGCTGTCCCCACCAAACTGCCCTGAGGTTTCTCTGTGATCTTTCTTTTCCGCCTCCTCACCATGTACCACTTCACCCACGCCCCACCCCCAGGCCCTCACAGTGTGTGTGGACGCCGTACCCCTCCCAGCCCCTCTCTGGACCCATCCTAGTGGGGCAGTGTGAGCACTAGCCAGGACGCCCCCGAGAGCTGCTCAGGTTCTTCATCCTGTGTGTGTTCACTCACAGACCGTGGACCCGGGGTCCCCTGTCAGGGCACAGGGCCCTGCGTTTCCCCTGCACAGGCCCTCTCTGTGAATACCCACCTCCTCTCCTGGGCCGCACAGCTGAGGCGAACCAGTGCCCACCTCTGCCCACCCTTAGGGTTCGATGCGATTAAATGAGATGCTCCAATAAAGAGGGCTCGACATCTATGGATAATTGTTAGAGTGAGGTGTAGTTCTTTTCTAGAAAGAATGAAGGATGACCCACCACTTATGGAAGTGGTTCCTACTTCCCAGGCCCAGGTGTCCACTGCCGTGCACCCCCATCCTGCCCCCCCCAGGATCAATACTGGGGCTCAAATAATTATGATCCTCATTGGTGGCCTCCCGTTTCCTCTCTCCCCCCCCCCCCCGGACTCATTTCAGTTTAATCTGTTAATTTCTGTTCTTATTTCACTTTGCAGACTATTTGCCGATTTCACAAGACATAATTTTTATCAACTAGCTCTTAAGAGAGGCATAACACATTGGGGTTTGCTACCATTACTAGAGAGAGGACACAGTCCCGGCCGGGGCCACCCCAGCTGCTCTCAGTGTCCACTGAGGCTGTCCTAGCTGCCTGTTTGAACGAATGTTCTTTTTCTCATTTTTAATTCTTGGAAAAGACTCATGTCCTCATTGCTTCTCAATTTAAAAAAAAAATTTTTTTTCCTTCTACAGTCCCCTCCCATTTTGCTTCTTGTACACACTGTGAACGTCCCTCCACCCCACCCCACCCCACCCCACCCCCACCCCCACCTGGAATGTAACGGGGCCAGAGGGAAACTTCTCACAAACTTTGTAGAGCCTCCTCAGGGGAATCCAGGAAACAGACATCAGATTATTTTAAATAGCAACCAAATAAGCTTCTTGGGGCATTTCATGGAGTGAGCTTTTAGCGCTGGTGGCCCACAGGCGTTGGGGATGTGTGACTTGGAGCACCTGTGTCCTGGGGTGGACAGTACCAACAGTGAACGAACACACACACACACATGCACGCGCGCGCGCACACACACACACCTGTTCTGTAAATACTAATGTGAAAAACGTCATCTGGAAGAAAAACTATATCTGGAAAACCATCATGATCTGGTTATGTTTGTGTTTGGGGGCCAGTCCCTCCGTGGCCGTTAACCATAAAAATGAGTACACGTGACCTTGAGAAGGGCCGGTGTCGTTACTGGGGCACTGCTACATCTCAGGCACCGTGGCCACAGACCCACGCCAGGCCCCTCCTTCCCCAGCACCCCGTCCACACTGGCCTTGCAGTCACTGCTGGGATCAGGGCCTCTGGGCCCGCCAGGGTAGCAGAGGACAGAACACACGGGGCCGATCCAGATCGGGCTGGCACCCCTGATGATCAGTCACTATGAGAAGGCCTTGCTTTTCCCATGGTCCCAAGCCCCTCCACTCCCCCGTTTGAAATAGCCACACGGGCTTGGATTCGTGAAGTACAGCTCAGCAGCCACCCCCTTGTTTACGTTCATAGTTTGTGAGAAGTGACCCGCGTGCTTCCACTGGATGCATTTGATGTGAGCAAATCCATCTGTTCGAATGTCACTGTCCTTGAGACCCAACCAGTGTGGTTTTGCTCATCTCATTAAAGATGCTTGATGTAATCGTTGGTTAGTTTCCTGTTATTTTCCCGCAGGCTTTTTCATGAGTGCTATTTTTTTTTAACAGTTCTTTATGGCTACCCCCCCACCCCCACTTTTATTTTGTTCTGCTATGAATTGCTTTGCTTTGGCGAACTTGTCCTAGTATGCTCACCTCACC